GGATGACCGCATTGAGTTTAAGCCCATAAACTCCGTAGTGACTCATGAAGAACTCTGCTGGAAGTTGTCCGACGAACGAGGTAGGAAGCTGAGGGGGGAATGAGAGGCTCTTGTCGATACTTAGCGTGACCTTGTGGTTGAAGGTCGTGAAATAACCAAAGAGCCTTGCATGCAATTAGCAGAATGGCACAACAGTTTGTAATTTACCAGCTGCTGTATTTATCTATGTGAACGACTGAACATGTAGGTCCGATCTAAATCACTTGAAATCTATAAGCTAATTAACTGTGAGCTGCAGAGTCTAACCTCTTGGTTCTGGTACACAGAATGCAGAACAGGCTTGTCTCAGGCTGGAATGCAAATGTTGATGCATGTCAGCTTTGGTCCAATGTGTACACTTATTATTTGACATGTCTGCAAAAATAGCTGCACTGCTGGGATAGCACGGAATACATTAATCCCCTGATCTCGCTCTGCGCTAGGCCACGGCCACATCTCGTCCATGCCAGGCTGTCCAGATGGCGGGTAGGGATATCCGTCCCATCTGCCAACCCAGAGAAGTACAGCGGCCAAGCAGATTAGTGCTTCGCTGACACACTGATCTACTAGCATACCTCCACAGAGTATAGACTGAGTGAGTAAGAAAGAAAAGACACAGAGCCAAACAGAGAGGACTTGCAGTGACCGACAGAAACATTATTTCCATGGGCGCACGTGTAATGGAGTATGGACGGCGCTAGCTTTGATGATCACATGTAGAAGGAGAAATGTTCATCTGTGCTTAATAAAAACATGCAGTGTATGGTTGTCTGGCCGGTGATCCCACAGTGTAAATTTTTAAAGCTGGGGGTGGCTGATCAGGAAGAGAAGAGAAGGCAGTCTGTGTCTGTGTGTTATAGAGTGGGGCTAAGAGGATTAGCTAAACGCCTCTGCCTAGCCTGGATACCCAGAGCTGTGGAAATCCCACTCCAATCACAACCCCCACCCAGGTCAACTAACCCCCAACTACAGCCAACTCACTTTCTGCAAAACATGGAGACTGTGTCATACTTTCATGGACCATTACCCATGTCTCTTTGACGTCTATCAAACTCAACTACGTTCAAAAACGGGAAAAAAACACATCACACATCCAAGCAACGACTAAATAAGTAGCACAGTCTCCAATTTTCTCAACTCGAGTCTGATCCTTTTAAATGTCCTCACATAACATTTTAATATGAACGACAAAAAAGGTCCAGACGACACACCAAAATCCATTAGACTGGCCGATCCAACAATAAAAGAATCCAAAGAGCTACACGGCCTTAGGTTAAAGCTTGGTGTTGAAACGTATATCCTTAAAAAACCCAAATTCTCCACATATACCATCTAATATAGACTTTGTGGCTTGCAGACCTTTATTGAACTCAGATGCAAGCTATGAGTTCACTGAGACAGACGTGCCTTCAGACATAGATCCGTCAGCGCAGCTTAGAGAAACAGTGCTGTTAGACACAGTGCCAGAACGCCTGGAGGCCAACTCCTCCAGCTGCTTCATAGAAAACAGATGCTAATACCATGACAGCTACCATAAACTCTAGCAACGCAAGCAAGAAGTCTGAACATGGACACACACCGAAGTAGTGTGGCCGACACCGATTCAAACAGAGAGCTGAGTAAGGTTAGTTGAGCAAAGTCATAATACAATCGTGATTAAAAAGATACCCTTTGAGAGAAAAGTGCAGAAGAACAGTTAAGAAATCATAAAATTCATTTCAGTCACTGTCCTCTCTCGCTGGGACTATCAGGAAGCTGTCGGTGAGGAGAAATGCTGCTTTTCTTGGCAGCGAAGTGTTTACAGTCTGAAGAGAGAGTGTGGAAGCAAGAGGGGCGAATGGGTGAGTGTGTCAAAGTTAGATTAAAGGAGGTAAAAGGGGAACGCGATGAAACCTCCAGCTGTGCCAGCAGCTGCAGCTCGTCCCCAAACACAAGCGTAGCTCGGAGTGACGGCGATTGGGGCCAGCAGTTCATAGCCGAGGGCCTGCCCCCTATAGTGCAAATCAGCCCTATAAGGCTGTGCAGACGCCGAGACAAACATCATCACTGCAGGCAG